ACGTGGCATTCATTTGTAAATTGCCGGCGGCTGATTTACCCGGCTATTCGCCCCGCTCAGCGCAGCTCACGCCTCCCCTCGGCGGCGCAGCCCCAGCGCCGGGCGAGTCCCCTCGCACCCCGAGTTGCCACAAGCACTCGCCCGGCAGTGCACTGAGGAGCAGAGCAAGCCAGCCCATCCCTACGTGTACATGGAAGCACATATCCAGCCGCTCCAGCGTACAAAGCTGATTCCTTTTCCAAACTCTGTCTTTCCACCTAGCATAAAGGCATAGCTTCTGCTGTTCAGACAGCTCCTACACAAAGGCTTTTGAGATACAAAGTATCACTGCATATAAGCAGTCTTCAATAAGCACTTTTCTCTTTTGTCTGCTCTACTGGTATGTCCTACTGAGAATTTTTTTTTTTTTTAATGCCTGCTGGTGTAAAAGCCTGAGACCCTCAGAAAGCTGAGCAAGTACTCCTCAATCTATGGGACAGACCATTTCAAAGCAGAGTGCACAACACTGTAAGGGGCACTCTGAAGCTCTGAGGGTTGTGCAAGCAGCAAACATCACTTTTACAAGGAGACTCTATGACCGAGTAACTAGTCAATGGTGGGCAAAGAAGTAATGCTGAGTAAACAGAATTCTCCTTCCCCCAAAAGAAAAGAACCCCTCAGACTGTGACAGGACAGTCACACGTGTCCACCACTGCCAGCCAATACACAGCCCATTCCCATCTTGCTTGCACTCAGGCTGTTAACATCCATTCTCTCTGTAATCAGACACAGGAAATCAGAGGTCAGGTAAATAATCCAGAGGACTCTAAAAATAAACCCAAATTAGAACCCAAAATTTAGTAGCCAGAACAGACAGAACTCCCACTGCAATAGCAACTGCATCAATGGGGCGACACAGCCCAAGAGTGGGCACTGTCAGAAGGCTCCTTTCAGTTCTGTACCTGACAAAAAACACACACAGCAATGAAGCAGAAGAGAAAATGAAATTAAGAAAGAAAACCACAGTACCAGCAGAAGCTGAAACTGAAGAATGCCATATTGCACATCTCTTACTCCAGAAGCAAACAGAAGATACACTACTGAGGTTTATTCATTGAGGTGATACAGTGAGTATGAGCATTTGGATTTTTGCTTCGTACAAAAATGTAAGATTGTGTATAAACACCCAAAGCTTACCTGCTCTTCCAACACATCATGCTAGCAGAACTACAAGGCTCCCATTGTTCCCTTCAGCTGCAGGGCAAGAATCCAACCCACTCAAGGGATAAACTGGCTGTCTCCAGGGGAAGCCACGCACACCAGTATGCTGCAGCTTCAAGAAGGACCAATCTTTTGGCTCTGCTGGCTCAGAAACAGTAATCCACAGCTTCCTCATGAAAGTAAGCATTTAAGCCTGTAAAGCTTCAGCTTATCCAACGTCAAGGAAACTTGTGAAAAAAAATTACATGAGGTCTAGCATTAGAAGACATCAGTTTATTTTCTGCCTAGGTACTGAACCTTTATCAGAGTATCTGTCATGAAACCAAATGCAAGAATCAATTTCAGTTTCAAAATTTTTGTTGGCATTGTGTGTCTTGGTCACAGGTATGGTGCAACCTTGGTCCATTAACATTCAGTGTTAAAACCCTTATTTCACAAAACTTGATTCACTCACAGCATTGGATCAGTTTTAGTTTGGTGCAAATCTAATAGAGTCATTCTCATGTAAAATCTGATTAACAGCAGTAGGAACTGGGATTATCCTCACCAATCAATTCCTGTTTCTTCCAAGTAAGTCAGACCCATAAGAAAAGCTTCCTGAGTTTTCATTATAATAAAACTTGGGATTGTAGCTCCCGCCTAACCTGCCTTACTGGCTGTCCACCTGCTCTACTGTTTCACTGAGAAAAGGCAATACAGAAAAATGAAACTTATTACATCACTAGACTCTGCTTTCCTCTACCCACACTTTGCCTCCATTTCAGACATCAGCAGCCAGCACAAACAAAAGCTCTAGTAACTTCACCTCACTTGTCCCAAGTGATGGAAAACTTCACTTGCAAACAAACACAAGCATGTCTGCAGGTTACTCATGCAGAGGCTATGACAGCCAAATCCCCAGAAAAGCCCCTGTAACAGTCAAGAGTTTGCTCATGCAGCTTAAAGCTAGATGATACGAATTACCAGGTCCTATTTCTGAAGAACTGGCTCATGTTAGTCCCTCTTGTCCTTTTCCTTCAACAGATTACCTTAGTTGTCATCTATACTGTGACAAAACTGAGAAAGGAAATTGAAATTTTGCATTGAATGCCCATGTTTCTATCAAAATAAGAGAGTTTCAGTCTAACACTAACTCAGATTAATACATGTATGTGAGAACTACTTAGGGGAGGAAAAAAAAAAAATCACACTGCATTTACCTCCCACGACTTAGGCACACATACTAAAATACTTCTATCCTTCAAATGAAAAAAATGTAACTAAAGCTTTACACTACCAGCATTCATCCCTCTAATTGTCTTCTATACATAAAAATTAGTTTTACAGCTTTGAGAGAACTATAAACTGATAATCAGATATAAGTAGGCTTACATGCAGGTTGGATTGAAGCAGGCACTGGCAAGGGACTCCACCCTGCTGTGTAACCCACTCATTTCCACATCTGCTGTCTCTGCCCAGTCCAGAAAACACAGGTCTCTTGCAGTTCCACAGGCACACGTACATACGTGTTGCTTTAACAAGCACTGAGTGTTACAGTTTTCAAACAAAAGACACTTACAGTAACCTGGTACATAGATGCTTTATTTCTGACATTAACACGGTCTGCATTGTGAGATTCTCTTACATAAATGAAAAGTTTGTAGTACAACAAAAACTAAGATAAACAAGGCATTTGTTGCACGTTATGTCAAACCTTAGAACAAAAATATGGTGTAATATGTATTTAGGTTTCATGCAAGTTTGGCTGCTGCATGTACAATTGACCTATAAACTGAAAGAAATGCAAATGCACACAACATTCAAAAAGTAATAAGATGCCTGACATATGAAAGATTAAAACCTTCCTGCTAAAGCAACAAAGTAGGAGTTAACTAAACGATCCAACCAATACCAACACAAATTATTACTACTTACCATAAATCTATGCTTAAACTTGGTATAGGTAGCTTTGATGATACCATTTCTACTTCAATATACCATCCAGATTCTAGATAGTCATTCTGTCTTAATGTCTGATTTAATTTTTTGTGAATTAAATGCTTTATCCAGCATTACATGTTGCTGTTAAATCCATTCTGGTAATGCACACCTAAATCTAGTACTGCCAAGAATTCCAATTGACTCCTTTAAATTTTGCTAGGTGAGGAGTAATCCTGGCATGATGGGCATTTTCTGATCCCTTGCTTATAATAGGATTCCCGCCCCCCTTAAAATTTTGATGTGAATTAAAAACTGCTAAAAATGTTTGTGCCTATTACTATCAGAGCCAATATCAAAAAGCTCATAAAAACAAGGATTGTATAAGCTTTGAGATGCTTTAAAAAAGTTTAAGAACCCATTACCTTCCTTGTGCCGCTCATCCCATGTTAAATTTCTCCACTAATTAATTCTTCTCTACCATCTTTGATATTAAAGTGTTAGGAACACTTTCCACACCCTGCATAGTACTGGTTGATCTCATAAAGTTAACTAGAAACCTGACATCATGTAATTTTACATACAGTGCATATGATGCTCGCTCTTTCCATCTCTCATAGCAGCAAGCCGATTCTGCCACGATCTGTAGCAGCACACCCGGGAGTGGAGAGGAAGAGTGTTTGAATTATAAATAACTAAAACTACAGTGTACAATTCTATTTACCTGTCAGTATTCTGTTGAGAGCACTCCATTATAATTTGCTCGAAATCAACTACATAAAAATCTCTACAACAAAAGCAAACCAAAACATTCCTTCAAAACCAAAAATAAAGACATAAAATAAGTGCAAATACCTAAAATAGGCAACTAAAGCAAGTGTTGTGACCTGTATACCTTTAAATAAGGACAAAGATTTTTCATAAATAAAAGAATGTTCTCTTTGCTCTTCAAACATTTAGTCAGTATATAATGGTCAAAAAGTTAAGTGCAGATAAATTGTTTTGAGATCCAAGGTGCCAAGTTTCTTAAAAAAAAAAAAAAAAAAAAGTAATTAAATATACATATGGTAAATGCATTAGGTTTTAGTTCCTATGCAGGACAAAGTACTCCTTGGTCACATATAAGACCCCACCATTTCTTTCTAAATATATTTAAACAAGGTACAGGAACAGTTGCTGTATAATATAGGAATACCTTGTAATTATGTTGTAGACCAACATGATTTTAGGGCTATAGTGCAATCTTTAGGTAGATGTAACATACAGTATAGATTTTTACACTTCACCACTGTAATTCTTCTGCTATTTCATATATTTTAAACTTGTCCTTTTTCCATTTTAGCTGTTTTAACAGGAAACAACATTGGCCTCTAGACAACCTGCATACATATAAATATCTACATTTAAGCTTTGAAATGGAAATAAATTATAAAAACAGACTCCTTTCCAATTTACAAAATTTTGCTTGTTCCTACATACTGTACAATACATTCAACAATCATCTCATTTTGAGATTTATGAAGAAAATACTGATGCTTTACACTAAACTTAATTCACCCCCCTCTGCCTACTTCTAGTACCATTTGCAAATAAATATATTTAACACTGTAGTTAATTTCATTGTTTTGCAGCATACCAAAAAAATTAGTAGTGCAACTTTCTATCCTTCCTTTGTACTCCTTTCCATTGTGTTTCTTTATATACTAGAAAAATGCTACATAAGCAAAAGCACATTCAGTCATGTATGTTGCTCATTTGGAAACCAGTAACAACCTATAAACCTACTCTATATTGAAATGCTCTAACAGATAAAAAAAGCGATGCAAGTCAAAAGAATAAATATGAAAAATAGACCTAAAAACTGTATGCTGTCAGTACTGCAATGTATTTTACCTTTCTTTATATTTTAGGGGTTTACTCTTTTAATATCTAAAAAATTCATTGCAGAACTGTTTGCGGTATCCCTTCGTAAAGAATGCAAGAGCTTCACGTCTGTTCTTTGTCAGTCAAAAGAAGAAAGGAAGCTTTAAGGTAGCTTTAAGGTTTCCCTTGGCAGACTCTCTCAAAGACTTAATTCCCAAGTATCACACGGGAATCGCCTTCAACATTGTTTCAGTTTCAATGGAAAGAGATGGTTGTCAGCTGCAGTGACCATCACAGTATCAGAGACCTTGAATTGTTGTTGGGAGCTGTGTATGTGCTCAGATACCTTCTTGCTTGCTCAGTCATGATAAGCTGGTCTTCTGTTTTTCCATAAACAACTGCCTCCCAGTCACGACTTGGCTGCATAAAATAAAATTCTGTTAAAAAGGTTCTTTTAACAAACTAAAATACTTAAGCGATTCTCAGACAATGTTTCAGAGTAGTAATAAACTATTAAAGCCAAGGAATAATATATTTTACTGGGAAAGATCCAGTTCTACAGTACAATACCAAAAACTTGTGACAAAGCTCCCTCACCACCCCTTAATCCAGCTCCCCAGCAGTGCATCTGGGTTATGCTTTGAGTTCAAACACACAAAATGAAAAACACTCTTCAATAGAGTCTAACCAGTTCAACAATTAATACATAAAAGGGAAGATAATTAAGTTATCTTCTCTTTGAATATCTTCCTCTTTAAATGTGCTAAGTTCAACAGGCAGAAAAACACATTACTGATAGCTGTCTGGAGACACCAAGGAAGGTAAAATGATTTGGGAACTGAAAAAGAAGATTGTGAAGAACTTCACTGAACCAAGTGACAGCTGTGGAAGAATGGTCAGATTTTTGGGGAATATATTAGAAATGCCAAAGGAATTGGGAATGACAATGATGAATGGAAGAATAATTAAGCTACTAGTCCTGCTTTTTCCACGAAGCAAAGCCTACATCTTCACAAAATGTACTGAATCTCAAGCTGATTCATTTCCGCTCCAAATTGGACCTGACACTGGCTGATTGTAGCCTGATGAAGAATGCAAGATCCTCTCCCTCCCACATGGAGCTAGAAACTGATCCAAAGGATCAGTTCCACATATTGATTCACAAAGAAAATTAGCTGTTTGAACTTCTCTGTAAATTTAGCAGAACCTGATTCATGGAAGGGACTTGGGGTTAGAGGCCACAAAACTGAGAGACAATTTCTCTCAGTGAAAATTTTTCAATGAAAATATTTGTGATTATACTATGACTAAGCTCCCCTTTTAAGTATTCTGAAGACCACAGGGGAAAGAGAAAAAGGGAAAAAGATGGTTCAATGAAAATATTTGTGATTATACTATGACTAAGCTTCCCTTTTAAGTATTCTGAAGACCACACTTCTGGGTCAGATAGATGTATTTCACCTTTGCTGCAATTCACAGCAAAATTAATTTTTCTTTATTTTTTATACTTTTAATATCACAATTAAATGAACTTTGTTCTTCTTCCTTATAAGAAAAGATCAGAAAGCAATACTGTTGTCTCTCTACTTAAAAACATCATTGTTAAAGCAGTTAAGTAGAATATGGAAGATCAGGCTCCAGGTGTCCTGTCTTCTGGGTTTGTTTTTTTTTTTTTAATTCTTTCATTAATACAGAGCCGTAGATATTCTGAGAAGACAAAAATACCTTATACATTAACTCCCTATGGGACAAACTGGAATTGTTACAAAGTCAGGCCAAAGAAATCTCTTCTTAAAGCTGGTGATGAGGACAGAAAGAAAATTAGCTTCAATGGTTTTATCAGTATGGAAAATATATGTATGTAAAAGAACAGGCCTGTTACAAGAACAATTACCAAACAATCTGTGGATAAACTCTGCTTAATGAATCCCACTGGGCTTATTATGAAGAGTAAGCACCAGACAAATTTGAGAAACTGAAGTCCTAAAGAAGTTTGGCTTGCACCAGCTCAAGTTTTCTAACTCCTAGTCTTGGGCACCCAAACCTGTTTTGTTGCTCTCCCCTACCCTGGTTTTTCTCCGTGGCCTCCATCCAAATCTTAGTGAAACATCAGTTTGTTTCACTGAAACAAAGTGTGAAACATCAGGGGTGTGTTTAAAGAACTTAGCTATGAATAAACACTCTGCAGAAAAAAGACCAACTTACAAGAAATAAGAATCATGGAAACTCTGAAACTAGATCACTGGTTTCAACAATTCTAGATATTAGTGCAAGACAAAAATAAAGCAATACAAAATTTCTTTGTTAACCCACTACCAGAATTAACCAGAATTAATCCAGACCTGAAGAGTTTTCTCCATTTTGACATTTTTTGTCGCACATGCATTCAGTTTCTTCTTAATTACTGCATTTGCTTTGTTTGCTGGATTTGTATCCTGTTTTTCTGATGTCAGGTTACATCTGTTGTCCTGTATTTCCAACAATGGTGTCATTAATAAAGATGTGGTATATGCATTTTTTGACTATTGACAAAAAAGAAAGTAGAGAACAGGAATAATAATTAGCAGTTAATACAAAAAGACTTCAAATGCTGTCTTCAGAGAAGCCAAAATGTAAATAAAGTGAATACTATCAGAAAGACGCGAGGAAGGAATCTGAAAAGAAAATGTAATGAACAGTATATGAAGAACTAGCCTGGTCCATACTGGGATCCATAGTACAAGAAGCAGCTGCTGGCATGGTTTAGGTACCACTGAGCAGACAGTTTCTTTACTCTAAGGCCATACCACTCTGATATATTTTGTTAAGAACAAGATCTGATAAAGTGGTAACTACAGAACAGTTTAAAAGAAAAAAACTAATCACTTTCACATGTAGGACAATCTTTGTGAAAGTAAGGACAAGGAGACTAGAGCCAAAAAAGTAATATCACATGAATTTTAGGGGGAGGAACTGCTTTAAGAACTGAAATAAGCACTGTATGGATCATTCCAGAAGAATTTTATATATATTGGTAATGTCTGTGGAAGTAAAGAAATTAATCCAGCTTCAATATACAAAAGTGAAAGACAGATATATGTCAATTTTAAAGACCAAAAATTAGTTCACAGTAACAATGGCATAAGTATTTGCTTGCTTACAAAAACACCCCATTAAACTGCATTAAACCACCTTTAAATATTTATTAGACCACCTTTAGTATTTATTAGTATATATCAGACCTTATTCCTAAATTTTCATCACATGGACACACAATTTCTACTTAAAGATTGGTATATTTTTCACTCTTAAGTAAGATACTACCACTATCTCTCTTGCCAGGAGTGAATGTTCGTGTTGTACCAGCATTCCTTATGAAAATGAAGGAAAACCCAACTTTCCCCCAGTCCAAAGCCTTTAATAGACCACAACATCACAGTGTACTCTCTCTTGCCAGGAGTGAATGTTCTTGTTGTTGTTCTTGCACCAGCTTTCCTTACGAAAATGAAGGAAAACCCAACTTTCCCCCAGTCCAAAGCCTTTAATAGACCACAACATCACAGTGTATCTTAACCTGGACTCAGTGATACACAATAATGTGTCACACCAAGACATCACTAAAAGAACAGCAGGCATTTTGGTCATGACTGGAATGGCTGCAGCACTGCTGCTCCTCCCAAGAGATGTTCCTGGGGAAGCTGGCAATTCCCACTAGGCGGCAGAGGACCCAATACCCAGCAGGAAGATTCCAAGGCTTGGCACAGAGTCTAAGAGGCACTTTAGAAGGGAATTTAGAAAACCAGCTGGAAAAGAGTATGACCTAAGCACCTTACACTGGCTTTTTAAGAACCTTGGCTCCTACATACTGTATATAGCCTTAAACCTAATCAAGAATCACAGACATTTACTCTTTAAGCATTAAACACATACATGCATTAAGAAAGCATCAGAAAAAAAGTTTTCCTACAAGACTAATGAGTAAGCTATTCAATTACTCAACTGAAAAAACATTAAGCTTCTTTTTAAAGGAAAGAGGGACCAAAATAGCCTCATATCTGATTTCTTCATGTCTTGGTTGTTGAGACAGAAGTATTCAAATTCCTTTAGGCAAAGGAAGCACACTAACTTCATCTTTGACATGCTTGATATTTCTTAAAGGATTCCCCTACTATGTGGAGCAGGAAAAACATGCTGCCTAATATGTAATTAGGTATTTTCAGAACACATTTGCCAGACTGCCAAGCATGCACAGCACAGGAGCAAATGTCATCTTCCTGGTATATTACAGAAAGCTTCAGCATGCTGTGTATGCTAAAGTTTATAGGCAACCAGCATGGAAACAGCTTTGCTACAAACCTGTAAAGCATTTACATCATTTTACCTACTCTGAACGACTGAAAGGAAAAATTCATGCATGAATTCAAGCCCAATGCTCACCTATTTCTTATATACTTAAAACATTATTTCAAACTGAAAGTACTTTTCACTTTCTAGATGCATTAATCTAGCAACTTCAATCCAAAAAATTTATTTTAGTGGGCAGAACAAAAGATACACAGTTCCATATTAATACTGCTGCCAGTGATGATCTTCAGTTAGTTTAGTTTAGTTTAATTCTTACCTGTACATCTAAACTATTATCTTCTGTCAAACGCTGGGTCCCAACTTCTTCTTTTTCCTGTGGATCTAGGACCAGTGATTTTCTGACTTTTTTAGAAAAGTTGTGCTGAAACAAACATTTTGCAGAGAAAAATTGTAAAATATTATTTAAAAGCAGTTATTCCCTATTTGAAATTACTATTGTCATATTACCTCCTGCTTGCAGTTTTTATACAAAGTGTCATCTTCCTCCTTGGGAAATATATCTGTTCCAGTTTCCTCTTTCAAAACTTCCCTAATGTCTTCCTCCGAGAAGGCAAGTGGTTGTGACTAAACATTAATTAAAATTGAAGAAAATACAGGAAGTCTATTAGTGGCCAGTTCTTAGAACATTGTACTTTCAGCTAATGTAGGCCAGAAAAGAGATCTTGCAAAACATAGCAAGAAAGGACCTAAGCTACTGTAGTTAAAAACCACAGGGCTACATTTCAAGGCTAAGAAAATTATTTTAAGTTCATTTTACTCCACATTATTTTGAGCCAGATAAAACTTATACATGCACACAATGCCTCAAAAATGCAAGGTAGCATTGAAGAAGACAAGCTACTTGTTTGCAAATGGTTATCTACTGATAAAAGGGATAAAAGTAATTTATATATACTAAATACCTACATAAACACTTATGTATATATACATGCATAAAAACATACTAAAAACTGTACTGGAAATGTGTAACTGCTGTTGTGAAATGAATTTATACCAATTTTAACACAAGTCTTTGAATAAGACATTGATAGTCCTAAGTACAGTACTGAATTTCACAGAAGCCATACAGATGGCTCCTTTGTGTACCAACAGGAGAAGAATTCCCTTAAGCCCTCAAAATTTGATTTTGAACAGGAGGTTAATAGTGGACAGAAACAGGAATGCCAAACCACTCCATTTGCATAGTGAGGGACTGTGAATCTATAGGGTAACACAGATGGTGCCAAGCCCTGTGGCAAAGTCTGAGCTACCTTCTGTGTTTGCAGAAAAGAAGCAGTCAATATATATTGGCTGGAATCTTTTCAGAATTTGAAAAGCATATGTCTCCTGAATTCCAAAAGTTATTATGCATTAACATACCTTAGCTACGCTAGGAAGAGAACAAAAATTTTATTCATTTGGAACAAACTAACAAAAAAAAGTAACATTATCCATAGTCAACAAAACAAAAAAAGTGTGTGACAGCCAGCAGAATCAGAGGATCATGAACTGCTATACTAAAATTCTGATATTTAGGATGAAGAAACTGCAAACATCACTCAAGATTATCACACTGTGGTAAACACCTAGTTTCAGTCCTAGTGCTGTAGAAGTACCAAAATCAAAGAACAACTCAGCTCTTACATAGTCCAGAGGATTCAAAGATAATGCAGTTTTTCAAGTGAAATGTCAAAGTCGTTTGAAATAATGAGGTCAGTCATACTCATCTACAGCAGTTTGCTCTTACCAGATTACCCAGCTGGAGAACCCACACCCATTCACTCTCTGATTTATAATTTTTCTTTTGAAAAAATAGAAGCCTAAAGTATTAAAAGTTCAGGCAATTATGCAACCACCTTGTCAGAGATAAAGTTTTAGCAAGGATAGGCAAATTTAAAACAACTCACAAACATGAAACTGATGCATTTAAGATTACTGTGGATCAAATGATTATATGTACTAAATTACTATTCAAGAAGACAATGCCTTCATACTACACTGAAGGATACAAGTATAACAAACAGATCAGTAGTGGTTTTGATTCACATTCTAGCTGTTCTCTAGGATATGTAAATGCTTTTTAAGATCACAGTGAGGCTTACAATACTTCAAAACCAAGAGGGCATTTAGACTTCAACAAAGAAGAAAAGAAACAGTATCATCACATACCATAAGTCTGAGAGGACCATACTTTTTTTCCTGAGCAGCCAAAGCATTTTTAAAAGGAGTTGGTGTCCTTGGTGTTGAACCCAAAAGAGATCTTCTCATTGTGGGACTTCTAAAACTATTCAAGCAGAGAAAAGTGTTCACGTGTGCATTTCAACATTTTAATATTTTATCATTAGCAATGTAATAAAATTAATCTAAGAAACATTTTAAAATACCTTCATTTACACAACAGATATAACCACCATGCATCTGAAAGTAATGAGATCACCATAGCATTACCCCATGGGTATTAAACTTTAATTTAATAACACCACCAGATGTTTACTGTAATAAACCTACCCCACATTTTCCTTTTGATCTTGTGGTGTCATTTCCTTGTGTAAAGGAGTCGTAATAAGAACCTTCTGCCCACAGATTGGAGTCGATGTAAATGCAGGATTTTCAAAGTTAAATTGTTCATTTCCAGAACAAGTGTTGAAAAACTAAGCACAAGAAGGGAAAAAAAAGCAACCTTACAGGACAAAATTTCACCATTGTGTTGAACAGCAAAAACTCCCAAATTATATACATATATCTGAAAAACTTTTACTGACAAATCCCAATACTCTGTTCTGGACTTACACTTATTGCTGATACCTTGATTTTTTTCTTAAAATCCCTACTCCTTAATTAGGTGACAGAGATGGAAGATCTCTGTCAACAATTATTTGCATGAGAAAGTGTGAGCTGAGACACAGGTTGCCACTGCTGCTACCGCCCTCCCCATCAGTCTTCAAAATAGAGGTTGTTCAACAGTATATTTTTAATATATTTACCCTCATGCACATGTTTTAAGAAGTTTTTTGACATATTTATTTAGGCTTCAGTGTACTACTAGGGAAGAAACTACTTACATTTTATGACCCACCCACCCCAGTCTTCATGTTTAGCCGTACTTATACACGCACCTGCGATGGAGAAAATGGTAGTGTTTTCACTGGCGTCCGCTTTAGTGCAACATTGACGGTGTCGCTACACAAGCCATCGTTCAGCTCCGTAACCGGGGACTGCCCCACACGCAATCTCTTTTTCTTTCTCAGGATAGCAGGTGGATTGCTGAACTTGGTTAAGTTTGAGCTTGTTGAAAAAACTGTTTCCTCGTCCCCACTGATGCTGCTGTTTTTGCCATCAAGCATAACGCCGACATTATACTGGCACTCGGCAGCCCCTTCGCTGTGTTGGAGCCGCATCAGTTTCACTGGAGCTGGCTTGACAGGGGATACAACAGCCTCGGAAAGCTCAAAACACGTATCACTCCATGCTACTGGATCCTGTGGGGCAAGATGCAAAACACAAGCAGGCTTAGCCAAGATTACTTCAGAATGTCCAAGCCAATCTACCTGCCCTCTACCTCCACAAGCTATATACTGAATTATTCTCTCTGCGTCTTTCATACAATCATAAAACACTGGATATTTTAAGACACAATTCATTTAAAACAGGCAATAAAGCACTTGATAAGGTAGAAATTATACACGAACACATAATAAGGTAATTTAAGAGTATTTTACACTATTGTGTAAGTTGACATTCCTAATTAAATACTTATTTTTAACAAGGGATACAAACTTACGATTTCCATAAGATCTAGTGCCTCTGCAAATTCTGGAATGGTTTGTAGAGGTGTTAACATTCTATTTGCTTCTACACCCAAATACTTAGGTGGCGAATTCTGCTGAACAGGTGTGATGCGGGTCTCATCCATGCTGTAGAAATTACTTGTTTGTTCCTCAAGGCTACTTAGTGTATTAGGCAAACAATCCTCCATGATAAAATTTCCAGACCAACAAGACAAGCTTCCAGCTTGCTAAAAAATTGTGAAGAAACACATTAATCTTATTCAAGTTAGAGGCTGAAAAGAGTCAATTATGTGACTGCAGGATGAGAAAAAAAAAGTAGTGTGGAAAAAAAGACTAAGCGTAACTATTAATTTTGGCATTTTCAAATAGTAATTATCTGCTTCAATTAAAGTCTTCTCTTTACATTAACATGCTCAACATTCTCAAATCGTGTAAGATTTTTATCTTACCTCACATTCATATCTTATACACATTCACAATTTAAGTAATTATGGGCTGTATTGGAAGCCATCTCTGATGCAAGTTTCCTGCGTATCTGAACGCCAGTATATGAAGTCTTCTTCAGTACAGAACACTGAACTTCTAATTTTAAGGTCAGTATTATGAAGTAATCTTCAGTATAGAACACTGAACTTCTAATTTTAAGATTAGCAAATGCTTCTAGAGTGTGAAATACTACTTATTTGATCTGGGTTTTTTTAATGCATATTTTGCATTAATAGCTAAGTAAACTTCTAAAAGGTTATCCCATTTCAGTAGATTGCTTAGTACCCAAGAAACAAATTTTAATTTTCACTGGAAATCTAGAAGCAAACCAGATTCTACTAGATAAGCAGAACTGCACTGTTTCAAAAGAATGCCAGGAATAACTCCGCCACATAAAATCTGAAGTTCACCTGTAACCTAAACTAATGATCAATATGGTTGGGTTAGTTAGGTGTCTGATATGCACAGCCCTCTAAAGAAATCAGTGACTGCCATCTGCAAGTCACCCTAATTTACAGAATTAGGGAAATTCCACTGAATTTATACACAAATTGTGTACAGTGCGTATTTATTTAGTGTTTGTCAAGTCCAAATGTGGATATTAAGTATTGCAAGAACTCACACTGAAGTTTGAAGAAAATATAATCTACAGGACATTTGGAAATCAAATGGGGCAAAATCCATTTATTTTTCACCTCTACTAAGCAGAGATCAACACTGCTGATCCCTAAAACTGAATGGCAATGATATCAAATGTGTCACCTCCTGAAGAGGATTAAAGTACTGGGTCTTAGGAACAGCCAAATTGTTGGTCATATTGCTGCTGTCTTCTCAGTTTAGCAAACTGCACTAAAAATAAGTAATCTCAGTTCTAATATATAGATTTTTGTTTTCCAATGCAACAGCCATAGGTTTGATTTTAGAGGGTCAGGTGAAAAAAACACCACACTAAACCACACAACCATTACTGAATTTCTGAGGATTAACCTCAGTAATGCAAATTCAAATACTTAGAGAAATTTACAGTCCTTACAGAAGACATTTGTTTTCTTCTGATTTCATTCTCTGCTGACATAAGTAGCAATTCAAGCTCCTTTATTTTCTTTTCTTTATCAGGATCATCATCAATAAATGGCTGCTGAAAAATTTAAGAAAGAAGCCATTACTATTTTTTACTTCCATCACCTCTTCACAGTAAAGATTCTGCATTATAACACAGCTGTATTTTTAACAGGAATCCACACAGAGAGGGAACAGAACTGTTCAGGTTGTATCCTATTTTGTAGTACAGAAGTCACCCACAACTGAAACATCTCCAGTTACCAGGAGATGGATCTGATGTTAAAGTGGTGTGTAAGGTGGTATTTTAACTGCAGTCTAATATGGCCTGTAAGTTATCTGTGTGCTAAAGCACTTTCTAAACTAAAGTCACTATATTCTATCTTTAATAGAACCAAGTGCTGGCACACTGGTTTATATGTTTCTGGTTTCACATTCCTTCTACAACTGCGTGTTATTCAACCTCACTAAGTATGCAAGAAAGTGTTTCAAATCAGCATTTGCTGACACGGTATTTATACAAGCAATCCCACCACTACTATCTAGAAAAGATAATTAACTAATTGGTTTTGATTGGTTTGTTTGTTCTTAACTTTTCATTATTGCTATAAATATAGGTGAGGATATATGCTATCACCAGTTCAAAGAGTGCTTCAAGGAGCAGAAAGTATCTTATACTTTTCTGTGTAGGGCAATCCAGACTATCAAAAGCCATTTCAGGCTTTGTTGTGACTTGTATTCCTATAAAGATAATGCAACATGAAACAGACAACCTGCACAGGGAAACTTCAGGTCAGGTAGAGAGGTCTATAGAATTCCTCTATCTAACACAAAAAAATCCATGTATTATTCCTTGTGTCAAAATACCTCTTCCACTAATTCCAAAGAAACAATTCTTCCAAGGTGTCATATGAGAAACCAAGATCTATATTCATCCTGCACCACATGAGGAATTTCAGATATATTCCAAGTAAGCCCAAAAAAGCAAAAGGAAATAATACATCAAATTTCCATTTGTTTTAAAATTTCTTAATTCTTCAGGATTTAGAATGCTGCAAAAGAGCAACTGATTGAAAGTTGTTTATCAGTGAGAAAGAAATAAAACCTAATGAGAACAAAAAAGCACAGCCAGAAGTGCAAGTCATAGTAAGTTGAGTTGTTCAGATAGGGTTATATTTATTACATATATGTAAATAGTAAAGTCTTGTCTTTAAACCTCTCATAAGCTAGGTAATACTAATATAGTCACAATTCAGCCTCAAGATTTAACAAGTGGACAATGTTTTAAGCCATATTTCTGTCAGAAATAAGCACAAAGCATCATGTTTCTGTGATATAGGAAGAGACCTTCATTTTTCCTACCTAAAACTACCAATTACACTAGCAAGCTTACTTACAAAGGAACCTATATAAATGTAGGTGAATGATAAAGACTAACAGACATTTTGAAGATACACATATTTTCATAGAATAATACTATGAAGTAAATTCTCTTTAATTTATGAAGGCTGTTAACAATTTACCTGAACTATGTTGGAAGAAGATGGAGTATGTTCTAGACAGCTGCCTTCTGGTGAAGCATACTGATATGCTGGAATCTAAAAAGACATAAAACATTTTACAAACCATCAAGAAAATGAGGATATAAAATTAACTCTAGTTTATTATACATTAATTATTTATGGTTAACAAATCAGGAGTGGCTATAAAATCACAAAAATACTCAACAGATCTTCAATCTTTCCGATGTGTTTCTTGTTTCAAACCAAATTAATTATTTGAAATTGTGAAATACTTATCATTCTAAATTTTGAACTTACATGTGTCTGAACAGGCACATAAAATTGATTCTGAGTGTGCAAGTGTTCCATAGTCAGACAAGATTGGGGCTGAAGTTCAGCAGAACTAGAGCTTTCAGACTTTATAACACTTTGCAAATATCCTTCCTGTTCCACCTTTCTTCGCATTGTTGAATTCCAGTGATTTTTAATTGAATTATCAGTCCTAAAACGAAAGCATAAAACAGTGACTGGTTTCCAAATCTTAAAATTTAATATATGACAAAATTGACATAGTTTGTACAATAGGTGAATCTGAAGCCACAAATCCAGAAAGAGCCAGCAGTTTAGACCAAAAGTTCTGTTATCAGTAGGGTTTTGGCATGACTAGAAGGCTACTCTTTTTTCTACTAAACTAGAACTTTCTTCTACTAAACTTCAAGCGTGCCAGAAATTAAAAGCAGAAAAGGAGAAAGCCTTGGTTCTGACTGTAATCATGATGGGGAACGTTTTTCTTAGATACTTGGAATAATTTAATGAGCATATAATTATTTACCCCTCTGCTATAAATCTACAGTACATGTAGCTAAGACAATCACCTCACTGTCCCACAACACAATAGAGGCACTTTGGCTCGTGTTTGCTACTGGAAGACATCTCTTCTGGACAGCCTAGCCTGCAACCCCCACTCTGTATTTTATGTGCGGCTTTGTGGAAGAACATCCTTCTACCTCTTCATGCCCTTGATCATGGATAGGATAAAACAGGCATGGCATTTTGACAAGCAGGCTGAAATCACTCCTAACACTAAACATTAAGGCAAGGGTAGACTATAACTGCATTACTGTCTAAAACACTAGCATTATTATTCCTAGCCTTAGGTAGAGGTACACAGAAAGAAAAATTGGTTAAAGCCCCATTCTTCATTTAAGGTCACTCCAAGAAGTATTCCCCTTTTTCATCCTAATAGTGTTGAATTCTACAGATCTTCTAGGTCTATGATCTTTAGCAGTCTTTAGCTAAGAGTGTCAGATTTATTGACAACAAACAGGCTAGTAAATAGGAAGTCTTCTGGCAAACTCATTTTCCCTCTCCGAAATTATATTTAGATGCAACCCATTCCTCCAAAGGATTTACTGTGAGTCGTGGATTGTGCACTTCATCAAAACACAAAATTTTTAAGCACACATCCCTCATTACACCAAGGTAACAAATGTTGACACTCCTCAGACACAGCTAGACAGTCACCTCTTGAACACACAAACTGAATTCAGAAAGGGACAGCTTAACAGTGAATTTCAGTTAACAGTACAAGTTAAAAAAATTATTTTATTAAACTGTTCACACACTAAAATTTTGTTTTCCACAGGCATGACAGTGAAACTTGAAAGGAATATAAGGCAAACAATGCATACAATTCATTCTTAACTTAGAGACTTCATGTTAGAGACTTCATGGTAACCAACTAACTTTGCAATGCATGACTCCTAAGTCTGGACTTTTGAAGGTTACTAAGATTTTAACATTTTCTTTTACAAGCATCCAGTTCAACAAGTGCTACACCAAAAAAAAAAAAAAAAAAAAAAAAAAAAAAAAAAAAAATTATCAGATCTTAAACCAGGAAACTCACCCTCAAATGCATATTAATGAAGGCACTTTGAGATCAAGTTTTGTATCAAATCATTTTTCTACTACTGCGTGCAGTTAATTCAGTTCAGCTCTATTATAAACAGTTTTTAAGTGATCAGGAGGAATCTGAAGACACCTTCAAACGGTTAGAGCTCTTTCTATGGCTTTGACATCTTTTAAAGAATACAGGTCAAATGCAAAAGATTTTTAGCATCTATCAAGATAACTATGTTTTGATGTAAGTCTCAGCAGATGCTCTCCAACTAACAAGTTAAGATTTGAAAGGGTACTGAGATGAGCACTTTTCATATTCCAACATTTAACACAAATAGAGTTGAAAAGCACCTTCCAGGAAGAAGTTTTGCTATTTCAGCCCATCGGTTTCCCAAACGCTTGTGAGCTTCATAGATTATCCTGTCCTCTTCTTCTGTCCACGAAGACTTTTTTACCTCAGGATTGAGATGGTTATGCCATCTTTCTCTGCATTGCTTGCCTATTCTTCCTTTCAGGTGTTTTGCAATTAGAGACCAGCGTTTTGGACCATACTTCTGAACTAATTCAATAACCTGCAATACAGATGAAAGCACATTTTAATTTCAAAACCTAATTTACCTAATCAAAGGCTGAAAAAACTGATAAACACGCATTTTAGAATAGCATTATAACTGGCAACTGATATAAGGAGGCATACAGTGACTTGGGGGTTTAAAAATGATTTTTCAAGAAATCAGAAATTAGTAACTCCAAATTCTCTCCGTTTAGAATTTAAGTGTATGCTGCTGAAAACATGCATTTGGAAGTTTCCTTTCTATCACCCACTGCTGACATTAGGAAAGGCAAAAATGGGTAAACATTTTGTTTGACTATTTTCAACAATATTCATATGAGAAAAGACCCACACCTCTACATCTAGAAATGGAATGGAGGTTGGGAGTTTTTACAAAATAGAAGCTTTTTCTTAAAAGACTAATGAGAACTGTAAAAAGAAATCGATTGGGAAGACCATATTCATAAATTGGCAAATAGTAGTTTAAAATATGTTAGAAGAGTTTAAACAGTAGGAACAAGAAACCAGTTTGAAATACCTCAAGAAATCTGTATTTGCATCTCCCTACCAGGCAGTCCAGGTTGTGCAGGCAAAAGGCTACAGTACGGATTAAGAACAGTGAGGTGAAAAAGGAGCCTAAAACACTGATAGCTTCTTTACACCAAGGAGGATCATCGAGTCCAGTGGTCTATACAGGGATCACTCCCACAACTTTGGCATTATTAGCACTATGCTCTAACCAGATGAGCAGATCTCAGGGTTGTAACAGTAGGTTATGAAATAATTTCCCTTATTTCCAAACCCTTCAAGTCTGGTGGCTTTGAGGAACAAAAGATGTAAATGAGACCTTTGACCTTTAGTGCTACAAAGAGATCCCCCCTACTTGGTAAGCTGGAGTAATTCAGCCAGCAATCTCACTAATGGGAAATTAAATGCCTGAGCAGACCCGACATTCCATCTACTTAAGATTTTTTTTTCTCATACATCATAATGTAATAAAAGTATCCACATCACAAGATGCATCAGACATCAACTACATGGAAATGGAACTTAAAAAAAAAGTACACATTCTTAGCAGTCATATGTCAATTTTATTAAAGAGCAGAGTATCAATTAGTTTTTGTTACCCTCTGATCTTCTTCTTTAGTCCAGGGACCTTTAATCAATTCTGGGTTTAGTACCTTCTGCCACCGATGCTGGCACTGAAAATCTGAACGATTCTGAAACAGTTTTAGAAGAGCAGTGTAGCTGTTATACTCTCAAATACATAAAGCTGTAAATACATTCTAGCATGAATTATTAGCTTATTTCAAATTAAAAGACTTATTTAGAAATTTTTCTAAGTATAATAGTTAAATTCTCCCTCATTATTTCTTATTCCATTTGTTTATAAAAAAACCCTTCTCTGGAAAAAAAAAAACAACCTTGCATGAAAGTTCTAATCTAATTATTTCAATGTACTAGCTTGATAATCAAATTCAGAACTTACTCATCTTCACAGAAAAATTTATATTTATTTTTGTCCTCATTACTCCACACTTTCTCTGAATTTTGTGGCTGATCTATTTTCAACATTATTTATAACTTAAATAAGGCAAGAAATTTTTTAAAGAAACACTTTTCCTTTCAAATAAAATAATACATTTTTTGCTAAATCCCAAATGAATGTATTCTCAGCTCTTTACTAGTGTTAAGGAAAACAGATTTAGATCAAATTTAGTTAACATATACTAATTAAACAACATTGTTTTTTCTGGTCAGGACAGATGGTTCTTTTCTGTAGCTTCACTAAAGATCTTTTGAAATATTGTTCCCAGTTATGAAAGAGAAGTAACCTTCACTTAGCCTCCTAAAAACTGTCTATATGAAAGGATTGGTCCAATGCTTAGAAATATACAGGTAAGAGCCTGCCCCCCAAGGATAGCATACTTTAACACTAGGACATCATTATTTACTTGCTCCAGTGCAAGCTGTTGGATAGCAAGTACCAATTGCAAGGTTTTGCTGGTCTTGTCTACCAAGTAAAGGTGTTACCACCTTTACTTGGTAGTGCTAATATGAAGTTAAAGAAGTAGCAGTCTGCAAGACTAGAAAAAACACCCAGAACACTAACATGTCATGAAATGACACTGTCCACAGTACCTTCAAGCTAATGACAAGTAGTAGCTGTATGATTAAAAGCACACCACAGTTTTTTACAAAACATCATCATTTCCTGCTGAAGAGAAGCTGTAAAAGACAGACTCAATATAGAATAGCTGTTACCATTTGGACAAAAAACATTTTAAATTGTGGCCTTTTAGTGCTTTTATCTTCTAGACATTTCTGAAATCATAACATGATTTGGAGAGAAGAGCAAAACAAAAGATGGAGTGAAACAATATAATTGTTTCAGTCTGTCTTAGCCACAAAAAAAAATCAAAAGCGATTACAAGCTACACTCTCGCTCCTGAGAGTGACCTTGAAGCCATCTTCACTTTTTCTGGGCAGAATGGAGGGAAGGTTTATCTATGCCTAGTCCAGCAAAGAAATGAGGGTTTGAAAGCACAGCAGTTTGAGGGCCTTTACAATTCAAGATACCCTTGGCTTTCCTAGCAAAAAATCATCAGTAACAAGATAAGTGTGAATTATGCCAGCCTCTATTATTTGGCTGTTGCAATAGGTCACCTAAAAAGGCTGTGCAGCTCCATCTGTGGAGATAATCAAACCCAAACCCTGTCTTGGGCAGCCTGCTCCAGCTGACCTTGCTTGAGCAGGGGCTGTGAGCCAGATGACCCAGAGAAATTCCTTCCAACATCAATGATTCTGCAGCAGGCACCTGATTATGCACAATTCTTTCCTATGATAACTGGGGAACATTTTTTCAACCTCACTTGGGCCCAACTGAACAGGTTTTTTGTCTCCAGAAGCATTTTTTTTTTTAGATGGAGAATTATTTACTAAATCATTAGATCTGTTAAATGCAACTCCATACTACACCTGTGTATCAGTATCACCAAATGTATTTTCAAACAGCTTAATATAAAAGCTTTTTGATTCTCCTCTGCCATCCACTCATTTCACTGATTTTTATAAGGGAATAAGGTACATGTACGGAATATGGATTTGCTTATGCATGACTTAAATTTAGAAGCTTTGAGTTTATTACATGATATCTATATTTTGCCACTTGGAAAAAAAATTAGAAGTATCACAGTTGCACAAAAACATGATGAGAACAATGCAAAGTTATAGTTGTTCATCATTTAGAAATCAAGTCTTTTTTCACCTTACAGTGGAAGTTCATACAACCACATCATCCCACACAATATTGTAAGAACCTCAAAGGTAGAAGGAGGTGCAATATTTTTGATTTCTAATATTTTAAAATCCAATACCACTTCTAGGAAGTGATTTCAGCCTTATATTCTACCATGTTTTTACAGCAGGCATTTTATAACATTTGTTCAGAAGAGAAACAAACGCCATCAATTCTATTTGTAGGTACTGTCTACCATTACCTCAGGGAAGCAGTAATCACTGTAAAAAGAAAACCAAACCCAAACAAAAAAAAAAACCTAACAAACACACGTGCCCCCTTGCCTATGGCAGTTAAGAAACTCAGCCCGCTCCTTTCAAGCAATCGTTCAGATGTAACCCACTCCTAACTGCTTCAGAAGCAACCTGTGATCTCTGGATCCAGCCACCATGAGTAATGGAACCAGTAAGATACAGGAATGTATTCCATAATGAAAACAAATAGCAAGTGTGAACAGAAGGTATTTTTGATCATTTCAGACTATCAATGAAGACTGAGCCCATAAGGTTCTTCAAGGTCTGAGCTAGATCAAGTCTGTTTTAGAAGAATCCTCTAAAATAGTTTTTATTATTTACTTCTGATTCTATTACACTTCGTTTTCAAGCTAGACATGACCAAAGTAAATAAATATTAAGAGAACTTAACTGAAACAGATTCAACTTACTTGTAGATGACTAGCAATGAAAGCCCAATCATCTGTACCATTTTGTTCCACCAGCTTCTTTAGCCTTTCATCCTGTTAAGACATAACCTCAGCCAATAAATTTTACATGCTACCCCAATACAATACTAAGTAATAACATATTTCATGAGCTAAGAAGATCAGGTAGGGATCAGAGTAAAACAAAAAAACAAGTGTTACCTCTTCACGGGTCCATTTCACCTTGCTACATATCTTCTTCAAACCTTTTTGCTGTGGTACTTCATAGTCATGATCCATATATTGAAAGTCATCGTCTTCCTCACTGCAAAATACAACAGATGAGTGAAGAATATAAAAATAGAGTTTAAAATACCTCTGAAAAGCCTTTTTTTTCTAATTACTTGCAGCTTTTTTCCAATCTGTACATATTGTTCTAACAGAACATATGGGATTTGCATGATCACAGGGTCTGCCTCTAGCAGTTCACCATGTCAAATTACCAAATTAATTTTAATTTCAAGGCCACACACTGGACAGAAAACTCCTTCCAAGACAAGATTTAAATTTGAAGTAAAAAATTCTTTTTAAGATTCATGTATTTCTAATACATTTTTTCATTTTTATTTTACATTCATGAGCTTACAGAGTGGTTTGTTAAGACTTCAAAATACATTCATGATCCACCTCCACAAGTGAAACAACAAACACCACAAGAACGTCAAATAAGTAAATCTCAACTTGAGATTTTAAGTGGGTTCCAGACTTGACTAAAAGCGTTGCCTCGGTGTTACAGGAATTAGATACAAATCTTTGAAGACAGATACGTTCCAGAATAAATAACTCCGGCCGCAGTGCTGAGCCTCAAAGCGCAGAGCCAGAGCGGCAGGGCAGCCGCGTACCTCCGCGACTCCGCGTAGGTCACTCCATCTGCTGGGGAAATGCGGAACTCCACAGCCTGCATACACAAAGCCTTCCAAACAGGCGGCACGGGGAAGCTTTTCATGGAATCATCGCTTCAACTTCTGTGTCAGTGACTCATGCCAGCATAAATTCAAACACATGTGGAAACCTAGCTCTAACAACAAGAGCTGCAGTGCCCCTGCATTAATTATACCAAAGGCACAAAGAAGGGACTCCCATCCAAACACATCACTTAAATTAAAAGCAGTTTCACAGTGTAATTTTTTCTCCATTTTATTATTGGTACAAAGCATGATAAAAATATCACAAATTCAGGTTCAAAACAAAAATTATTTCTTCTCATCCTTGACAATTACTTCAATTTTTTAATCAAAAGTATAAAAAAACCCTTCCCCAGTAATGAAATTAACCTGTGCTGGTGTCCCAAGAACAGACTGAATGGACAATCTCTCCATTATTTTCTAGAACATGCAATGATCAGCACAGCACGCTGATTAACCACTTACACATTATTTGTTATTCTCCATTAAATCTGTTCCTGTTAGCCACCGAGGACATAGTTTATTAAAAAGCATTTCCACAGGATAATAAGTGCCCAACTCCTTCAGACTTGCTTCTACATCCTACACCACATCTGCATTTGCCCCACTTAGCTCCATGATGCAGCAGTAAAACATAAGCGAATTAAAACTTCGCTGAGTTGCTGAAAGACAAGGGCAGCAAACTTGTGGGAAGGTCAACAGCAAGTTCTCCATCGTACTTTCAGAAAAAAAAAGTGAGCTGCAAACACCTTAAGAGGTTTGTATTAAGTGGCTTAAGACTTACAAAAAGAGAACTTAAACTCAGAAGTAACAGTTTTTTCTGCCTCCCTACTAACTCCTCTTTTTTCTTTTGTTCACAGGTATTTGACAAATTTCAGGGACCTATCTTAGGACTGCAATACCAAAACACACTTCTCATAACACCATGTCACACCAAGTGGGCCATACAGTTTTCCTAATAATTAAAGTCAGGCCTTCTTGTAAAGCCCTTTGTCCACACGACCTCCTCACCCACCGCAGAGCAAACTATTTCGTGAGCAGTGTCCAGTAAGGAGAAAAGTCGGAGGGATTCCCAGGCAGAGAAGGGCTCCATGTGCGCGGCAGTGACGCTGACGGGGCAGCTGCGGTGCAGAGCCCTGCCCTGGGAGCTCTCAGCCGCGCAGCTCCGTGTCCCACAGCCACAGCGGCGCCTCTGGCAGCCAGGCAGGCACTGCCCTCTCTCGCACCTCGATTCCACCTGAACAACCACCTAGTCCCGAGTCTTGCCTAGACCAGTGCTGTGATAGACTATAAATCAAATCCTGATTAGTGAGTGGGACTACTACTTTAAGTTTTCAATTAAAAAGACAAGATTTTTAAACACACGGGGTTGTTATTGCTCATTTGACAATTTTTTTGCAGTTATGCAACTGCTAAAATACTGCACCAAAGTGGAAGGCATCCACCAAGTTTCATCAAATAAGACATCTGGGACAATAAAGTACATATTTTGTGAGATCTGCACTAGCTGTCCTTGCAATTCTGAGTTGAGAACCATTAAAAGAAAACAAATCAAGCTTGCAACTGCAACAACCAAGAGAAGCTTAACATTAAATGAATATAAGATTAAACTTAATACCATTGGTTGCAAAACAACTACACTTTCTCCTTACTTCACACCTAGATTAAAAGTCTTGAAGTCACTTTCCTGAAAACTCAGAGCTTCAATGATATAGTTTTGGAGATACCATCATCAGACACCGACACAACATCCGCCTCGGGCTACAAATCTCTAACCAAACCTTCCTCTGCTATCCACAACCCACTGTACTTTCAATCATGAAATCAAAGCACTCCACAGCCATGGGAGATAATACAATCTAAAGTTTGATAAAAATGAAACTACTGTGTGTAATACCACAGGTGAAAGTCCCTTAAACTACAAAATGCTGATTAGGAGTGCCAAGAAACACGCTGTCTCCAAGCTATGCTTGCAGAGCCAAGCACAGATAGCTTCAGCAGTCACCCTCTGCAAGCAAAGCCCTTTGTGGCTTACACAACTAGAACACCAAAGCATTGCTTTCTTGTTTTAGTTGCAGCTTTGCAGAAAAATATTCTCTTACAATTTTTTCTATGTCAGAGGAAAATGCAAAAGCAGTTTTAGTATGTTTAGCTTTGAAACCACCCCCAATTCCATGAAAAGTATACATTCAAAACAAACCCCAGATGCCATAGATAACTCACCGAGTATCCTTTCCTTTCCTTTCCCAATCCTAATCCTTCTCTTACATTTCTTTATAACTTTCCAGAAACTGATTTAAGACAAGAATAACCATAGTGACAAAACAGTTCTCCAAGACCCACCTTCTGAATACAAAGCAAAGACACACCCATTCTCATATCAATATAACAAAAGATGTAGGAAAGCCATCTAGGGTAGCTGCTGGAGCTCTGGTGCAAAACGTGATCTCTTAGGAATATTTCAGGCTAGACTGGGATAGCTTCAGTCAAAGAACGTATCAGCTGAGAAAAAGTAGGTGCATTGAACATACTGAAAGAATCAACAGGCCCAAACCTTATATCAAGGCTGTGCCAACGCAACTTGGGAGGTGAAAAGGAAAAAGTGCTACTCCAGCAAAAGGAAAATAACCAGCATGGAAAGCTACTGCAGAGGCAACGCAGTTGTTACGGACAAGCGCAGCTGCCCAGGTAAGCCACAACAAAGACGACCTGAGCGAAAGCACAGAAGGGAGAGCGGCTGCCAAGGGAAAGGCGGGATTTGTACCCGAGAGGTGGTGCCCAGAAGCCCGAGAAGAGATACCTGCGAGGGTGCCGGAGGGGGGAGGGAGGTGGGCAGTGACAGCCGAGGCCGGGGCGGTGGAAGGAGGCCGAGAGCAGCGGTGAGGGGCGGGGCGGCACCTGGCTGGGATCCCGGGGAGCGGGGGGAGCACCTGGCCGGGATCCCGGAGGGCGGGGGGGCACCTGGGCTCGGGACGGCGGCGTGGAAGGCAGCACTGCCCGGGAGGGGATGGGGGGCAGAAAGCGCAGAGCGCCCCGGTCCCGCACTCACCTGCGCCGTCTCTCCGCCATCCTCGGCGCGCACCATAGGGGGGGCCGCCACGGCCGCGGGGCGCAGCACGGAGCCCCCGAGCCGCCCGGGCTCCCTCTCTCACAGCAGGGCAGGGACGTAGCGGGGCACCGGCGGCTCAGAATGCCTCTAGCCGGGCAGGGATCTTCCCAGGGCCCGCCGCTCCCCGCGGTGCCCGCAGCGCCCCGGCGGCCGCCCTCAGCCCCGGCCCGGCCCCGGCGCGTCAGGCATGGCTCGGCCTGGCCGCTGCCCGCAAGGACGGGGCGCGCAGCGGCCCCTTTCTCGCCCCTACTGTGCCTCGCTCTCCGATGCTGTCAGAGCTGCCGCGGGCTCCGGCGGCGCCCTCCGCCCTCCTTCCCTCCGTCTCCGGGCCTCTCTGCTCGGCCGCCCTGCCCTGTGCCCGCCCGGTCCCCTCCGCGCACCGGCCGCCGCCACCGCCGCTCGGGCTCAGCCGCCGGCGCTCGCGGCGCGCTCGGCCGGTGCCGCCCGAA